AAGGGGCAGGAAGGGGCTCCGAGACAGTGAACCCTAAACCCTAAACCCTAAACCCTAAACCCTAAACCCTAAACCCTAAACCCTCACACTGAAATATGACTCGGATGCCTCCGCCTCGGAAGAATCCGAGCTCTCCCATTCCAGCCCCGGCACCTCCAAGACGCATCTCGCGTAGGGTTTAGGGTTTAGGGTTTAGGGTTAGGGTTTAGGGTTCAGGGTTCAGGGTTTAGGGTTGAGGGTTTAGGGTTTAGGGTTTAGGGTTTAGGTTCTAGGGTTTAGGGTTTGGGGTTTAGGGTTTAGGGTTTAGGGTTTAGGGTTTAGGGGGGAAAGGCTTGGGCGGGGGCACAAGCTCGGCGTTACTTACATGGGGGGCTTCCGAAAATAGGGGTACCCTTTTTGCGGGTCCCTTTTAGGGGATTCGGCTCTATTTGGGGTGTAAAAGGGGTACCCCTAGTTTGGGAAATACCCACATCGTACACAGTCGAACTGCCTGAAAGTTGTTGGAGGACGAATGCGACGGGCATTCGGAAGCGGCTCGCACAACTGGATTTCCTCGGGGCCGAGCTCCCCCACCATGAAATGGTTTAGGGTTTCGGGTTTAGGGTTTAGGGTTTCGGGTTTAGGGTTTAGGGTTTAGGGTCTAGGGTTTAGGGTTTAGGGTTTGGGGTTAGGGTATTGCTACATTGCAGGCAAGTGGCCAGCTTCATTGCTGGTGTTGTCATCGGAATTGCTAGAGTTAGTCAAACCTCGCGGTGCTTCGGAGGCTGCCGAATTGCCAGAATCTCCAGAACCACCAGAAACAACCTGCGCGCGGGTCTCCGAACGACAACGGCCCTCGGCACATTGTATCAACCCTATACCCTAAACCCTAAAACCCTATCCCTAAACCCTAAACCCTAAACCCTAAACCCTAAACCCTAAACCCTAAACCCTAAACCCTAAACCATAGCAGCCCCGAATTAATGCTTCTCTGCCAAGGGTGACTCAAAAGGAGGCGAAGGAACCCTTTGGCCCTAAACTCCTAATTACACCTCATATAGGGTTTAGGGTTTAGGGTTTAGGGTTTAGGGTTTAGGGTTTAGGGTTTAGGGTTTAGGGTTTAGGCGAGATAATCATGAGTCATAACATCTAACTATACTGCCCTTAGAACCTTAATACAAACAGTATTTTTGATATCCTCTTGGGTTTTATACGAACAAAATAACTCCCAAGGGGAATTAAGCTAACAGGATATCGACTTTGGGAATGCCGAATGTGGAAACCTGCGACATCTAGCGAGAAAAAGGGGCACCCCTTGCTGGGAAGTTTAGGGTTTAGGGTTTAGGGTTTAGGGTTTAGGGTTTAGGGTTCAGGGTTTAGGGTTTAGGGTTTAGGGTTTAGGGTTTAGGGTTTAGGGTTTAGGGCAAGTTTAGGGTTTAGGGTTTAGGGTTTAGGGTTTAGGGTTTAGGGTTTAGGGTTTAGGGTTTAGGGTTTAGGGTTTAGGGCTCCTAGAATCATGATTGTAGTGTATTGGGCTCGATTCGGACCAAGCAAACATGTGAGCTTCATTACCCACCAAAAACCTTCGGCTTTCATTCCTCACCGGGCCTCCAACACTTCCTGAACGTTTGGGGTTTGGGGTTTCGGGTTTGGGGTTTAAGGTTACTGCTTAGGGGGTTTAGGGTTTAGGATTTAGGGTTTGGGGTTTACGGTGTAAAAACTTCGGACTCAGGACTGCATGAGGGTCCCTCAACGCCAGCGGCCTGGCTACGCAGGAGTGCTCCGGACAGAACCTCACGACTTAACTCGTAGGTATAGAGCCTGCATGTACATCCCTGGCCAACTGCCTGGGCACTGCAGGTCCGAGAAGATGTGCGGGTCGACCACGTGTTGCTGCCACCAGTTGCGGTATCGGAATTGGCTCCGCATCTGTGCGTCGCGGTTCCTTCACCTTGACATGCAAGCACTTAACATGGTCACGGGTATATGGCATTCGAGGTACATGAAGATGAGGTCAGGAGAGGGAAACAGCAGCGAGATACGGAGCCAAACACGCAGGAGTGAACATTGAAATCGGGGGGGGTTTTTGGACCCAGAAATTACTCGAATCCTAAGGAAAGCATGTGGATCTAAACCCTAAACCCAAAAAGAACCCTTTCAGGGTTCATGTAAGCCCCTTGAACCCATGCACCTTGCATTTGTGGGGCGACTTCCTGGAGCAGAGCTTTGCTTTTTTTTCTTTCTTTTTTTGTTTTTTTTTTTTTTTTTTTTGGGGGGGGGGGGGGGGGCGACCAGGGTCCCGGAGTAGAGTTTGATTCAACTATGTTGTGGTTCATATGGCTTCATGAAACTGGAGTCAACTTAAGTCAAATGAAACGGGCTGAGACATCTATAGCTCGTTGGAAGAGGTTTTCCGGAATCCTACCTACCTTCTAGCTGGCTGCGGCGGGGGGACTGTATCATCTGCTCACACTGGTGTGCTCATACCATATCACAAACTGAGCTGCATGTGAACTGGGAGATTTTCCTTGTGCTAGGTTTAGAGCTTTGTATGGCGTCTGACAGAGCCTCCCCCCTTCAAGGGAGAGGGTTTAGGGTTTAGGGTTCAGGGTTTAGGGTTTAGGCCTTCACTTCCTGCCCTGTAATTCTTGACGGGCCACTCTGCTTCTGTTCTGGGTCGTCCGACGAGATGGAAAGGTTGGATGTCTGGTGGGCACAAGCAGATCACAAGCTGTCAACATCACACCCTAAACCCTAAACCTGAAACCCTAAACCCTAAACCCTAAACCCCAAACCCTAAACCCTAAACCCTAACCCTAAACCCCTGCTACCATATGCGACTACGGAGAACTCAGCGTATGCTCAGTGTTCCGCCTCGCCTGTGAGCCACCCGCACCATCCGCTGCGTCGGGAATCCCAACAGAATTCCAACTCTTTGGACCTCAGACACTCGGTGCTATGGGCACCAAACCCTAGACCCTAAACCCCTAAACCCTAAACCCTAAACCGGAAAAGCCGCGTGGCCTACGTCTTTTGGCCGGCTCGAGGAACTGCTGCTCGGGAATGTGGCCTCCGCCCAACAGAGTCTGCACTCTAGCGTGGATCCTAATCAACCCTCTGAACAGCACTGGGCACTCAAACTACGTTGAGTTGAGGGTTTAGGGTTAGGTTTTGTATTTCAGATGCCTGGCTCGTGTGGTCGAGCTCCAGCACGGGCTTCTCCGAGTAGGGTGGCCATATAGAAGGATCCCTTCGCAGGGGTTGGATCATGGGCAGAGCATTCGGAATGCAAAAGTCGGCAGCATTCTGGGTTCAGGGTTTAGGGTTTAAGGTTTAGGGTTTAGGGTTTAGGGGGTTGGGGGTTTAGGGTTTAAGGTTTAGGGTTTGGGGTTTGGGGTTTGGGGTTTAGCCTTTAGCCTACTGTACAGTAAACGGTATGCAAGTCAGCAGATTAAGCCAAGGCTGGTCGTCACTGAAAACTTGCCAAGAACATCTGCTCGTTAGGAAGCACGGTGGCTTGTGTACTTCTGCCAAACTGTTACAACAAAAGTCTGGTGTGAAGCAATTGCGTCCATGCTGGGTCATTGCCAGCCGCACCACACCATCTGGTGTGGTCCCCTTGCCTGTTTCCGGCTCCGTTTTCCCTTGCTCCAGCCTCTTCTCTTGGTCTCCCTTGTTACCTTTATTCTTGTCACACGGTCTTGCTTCTTGTCTCCCCTGCCAATCGGATGATGTGACCAAACCCAAAAGATACATTGGCATCAAGCGTTTCGCCCAAAACAGCCCTCACGGCTAACAGGCCGATAATTGGCCAAGACGTCTTGTTGTGTGCGTCACAGTGCCAGCACCGGATAGAAAGTGTTTTGGGTTTAGGGCTTAGGGTTTAGGGTTTAGGGTTTAGGGTTGAGGGAGCATTTACTTTTTGATGAAGCTTCTTAGTCATGAAGCGCCCTTGACTGTTGAAGAACACACGAAATGGGACCGCTGATGTCCCCCGCACCCGAGAATGTCTGAATTAGGTTCAGGGTTCAGGGTTCAGGGTTCAGGGTTCAGGGTTCAGGGTTCAGGGTTCAGGGTTCAGGGTTTAGGGTTTAGGGTTTAGGGTTTAGGGTTTAGGGTTTAGGGTTTAGGGTGAGGGGCTGGATGTTTCCTTTGAACACAGCTCACGATCCGATCCAGTCCCCAGGAGATCCAGAAAGAGAGACAGGAAACAAGCTGAGAGACTACCCGAAACCCTAAACCGTTCGGGGTTTAGGGTTTAGGGTTCATGGGCCCACTGGCCTGAATATCGGTGAATCATCAACAGGCCTGGTTTGTCAGCAACAGCAGATGCAACACATTCTTGCATGCGGCTGGAGGTGGGAGCATCCGTCGGCAAATGCTGACATGGCACACAGCCAACAAAGAGCCAGTCGGATCAGAAGACTGCACAAAGATCCTTGGGAAGCGATCAATTTAGGGTTTAGGGTTAGGGTTTAAGGTTTTGGGTTTAGGGTTTAGGGTTTAGGGTTTAGGGTTTAGGGTTTAGGGTTTAGGGCTTAGGGCTTAGGGCTTAGGGCTTAGGGCTTAGGCTTAAGGCTTAGGGCTTAGGGCTTAGGGCTTAGGGCTTAGGGCTTAGCTTACGGGAAGTGAGCTGTCTTGCGCAACTCAGCTGACCCAGTTTCTGCCGAGCTTCAAGTGAGTAGGCCTGTCTAAAGGTTTCGAGGCCATACCCACCGCCCTGAATTGCAGGAGGCGATCTTGTCTCGTAAATGCTGCGGGCGAGGAACGTGAAAAGCTGATCAGCCTTAAAATAGGGTTTAGGGTGGGTTAGAGTAGGGATCCTTATCAACGGGTCTCATGGAAAGAGCCTAATCTAGAACAACCCCCACATCTGATGCAATCGTCTTACTTTATCTCATGGGGGGGGGGGGGGGGGGGGGGCGGGGGGTCATAATCCCTCGAGACATGATAGGGTTCAGGGCCCGGGGTTTAGGAGTTCTAGAGCCCATGCACACACTCACACACTCAGAGGGTTGAGCACATCTGTGAGCTCGAACGACTCGGCATCTGAAAAATCGCGGGCTCGCTGCTGTTGCTGGTCCTACAGGCCAGCTTAAGATTCCCGGAAATGGGTCTAGGGCCTAGGGCCTAGGGGGTTTGGGCTTTAGGGTTCAGGGTTTGGGGTTTAGGGTTTCCGGTTTAGGGAGTCTAGGGTTTAGGGCTTCGGGACTGATAGCCACTCCTTTCACCAGACACCCCAAATCGTGTAGGCTCCCAAAAACCCTACTTGCAGGCTCGTGGGTCCTGAGAAGTAGGGTTGTATGTACCTGAATAGGGTTATAGCCATAGTTCCCCTAGTTCCTACCCATGAGCCTGCAAGTACTCATCGCAAAAGCGCACCCTAAGCCCTAAACCCTAAACCCTAAACCCTAAACCCTAAAACGCTCCTTGAGCCAGTCTCGTGTTCGGTGAAGAGGGCCGATGTCCGAGTCTTGGTCGGAAGGCGCCAAGGCTGTGGACAAGACATGCCGGTAGACCTGCGCATGCTTTCCGACATGTTAGGGGGTTACCTTCTTGGGGGTCCTTATTATATAGGGGGGTCCTACTATTTTTGGGGTACCCTGAACCCTAAACCCTAAACCCTAAACCGAAAACCCTAAACCCTAAACCCTAAACCCTAAACCCCCACATGACTTTCGGATCAGAGATTCTAGGATTTGTAAGGCTTGGGCTGCTTGGGGGCACCGGTTTAGGCTTTGTGGCTGTGCTCCCTAAACCCTAAACCCTAAACCCTAAACCCTAAACCCTAAACCCTAAACCCTAAACCCTAAGCCCCACACCCCATGACATTCCAGCAAGGCCTGCTCGGCTCCCTGCAGAAACTCCTGCAGATGACAGGGCTTTAAGGCGTTTAGGGTTTAGGGTTTAGGGTTTAGGGTTTAGGGTTTAGGGTTTAGGGTTTAGGGTTTAGGGTTTAGGGTTTAGGGTTTAGTGGAAGGGCTATGCGGGGCTGGGAGGGCTGTAGGTTATAGGGCTGTAAGGGGGGTAGGGTTGGCTCTACGGGTACAGTATAATGAGGTTCCGGGCTGTTCAGCTACTCCAGGACATGGGCCGTTCTCTAGATCAGGCCCCCTTTTTTGGGGAGGATGCTTTGTATAAGGTGCCACAGTATGTATTGACCTAAACGGGAGGCCTATTTTAGAGAACTACCCCCCACGCAGACACAATGCCGAACGGCGCCATCGGTCCTCCGACGTGTTCCAATTCTGGACTACGTCGAGACTCTCTCCATTGAATTCGGCCCCATGGAGCCAATGGCGCAGGCGAACGAATCCCACCTCAAGAGCTATGGGGCGGGGGGGGGTGGGTCTGTTGAGAAGTGAGGGTGGGCATTTTGGGGGGTTTGGAGGGTAGGGTTTAGGGTTTAGGGTTTAGGGTTTAGGGTTTAGGGTTTAGGGTTTAGGGCTTAGGGTTTAGGGTTTAGGGTTTAGGGTTTAGGGTTTGGGGTTGAGGGTTTAGGGTTTTGGGTTTACGACATGACAACCTAGGGGCCCCTTTTAGGGATTAGGGGCTAGGGTTTAGGTTTAGGGTTTAGGGCTCCGACAGGATGCCCAAAGAAGCCTCAAAAGAAGCCGAGGCCACAATCATCGGGGACATGGCCTGCAGAATGCGAGAGGAATGACCTCGGCCAAGGGGCGGGCCCACCTTTTTTATATAGGGTTTAGGGTTTAGGGTTTAGGGTGTGCAGGGTTTAGGGTTTAGGGTTTCGGGCTTAGGGTTTAGGGTTTAGGGTTTAGGGTTTAGGGTTTGGGGTTTGGGGTTTAGGGTTTAGGGTTTAGGGTTCTTAAGGGAGGAGGTTCAAGGGGGGTATGTAACCCCAAGGTTCCCTAAGGTTTTTCCGGGTACCTACCCCCCATGAACCCCCCTCCCTTAAGAACCCCATAATCCCCTAAACTCCACCAACTTTGAAGGGGTTTAGGGTTTAGGGTTTAGGGCTTGGAGTTTGGGGTTTGGAGTTTGGGTTTTAGGGTTTGGGCTTTGGGCTTTGGGGTTTGGGTTTGGGGTTTGGGGGTCTAGAGTTGAACCATACTGGGAGGTTCACATGGGGCCTTGCAAGTAGCCCTCCTTTGCTTACCCTTTTGAACCTCCAAGTACACCAAACCGGCTAAAAAATAGAAAACGATGCACCAAAAAAACGAAGATAATAATAATAATCATCATAATCATAATGAAAGAAAAAAAGCAAGAGCCCCAAAGCCGCAAGCCCACTCTCAATTCCCAAAGAAAGAGGCTCACAGCATCCACAAAGGCTGCTGTCTGGAGGTGCTCCTGAAGCAATGGCCAAGAGTAACAGCAAGTAGTAATAATCGCTGGAGTTGATAGCAATAATAAGGAACCATCATGGCAATAATAACCATCAGAAGAATAACAACCATAACAAGAATAATGATGATAATCATATGAAAAAACAGTCATGGTAAGAATAAACAAGACACAGGACCCCTGACATCATTCCTCTTTGGTTTCGTGCTTGGAGGGGACTTTGAATAGAGACCCCTGCCTCCACCCGCTCGAGGCGCGCCAGGCGTCTTGCTGCCCAGCTCCATAGCCGCTGAGAACCCATACTTGGGGGTGGTTTATGAAACTGGGGGGATCCCTTATAAAGGAGACAAAGAGGATCCCCCTTATAAGAAGGACCCCAATAGAAGGTACCCCTAATTTCGGAAACCCCCATGTGTCATCCGACACGCAGAAAAACATGCAACAACATGGGTGCATGGGTCATAGGGATCTCTGTGCGAGGCTGGCGCAACGCCGGGAACAAGACACAAAATGGTCATCCTTGCTGCTTGTGCAAGATGGAATGGCCGTCGCATGCGAGCCTCCAGCTGTAAGGGGGCGTAACGGAGCGTGGCGAAAGCATGCGCAAAAGAAAAAAAGAAAAACAAGCAGCATGGAGATGGCTGAGTAGCACTGATCTGCGCCGCAGCGGAAGCCCTAAACACCCAGAAATCCTTCCAAGGTCAGGCCTCCGTCTTCCCAGCTCCACTCTCACCCGTGATGAGCAGAGCTTGCCTGCCATTGGCGAGTCGACTCGGGGAATCTTGACCACGTTACAACGCCTCCAGAAACGGGTTTAGGGTTTAGGGTTTAGGGTTTAGGGTTTAGGGTTTAGGGTTTAGGGTTTAGGGTTCAGGGTTCAGGGCTTAGGGTTTAGGGCTTCGGGTTTAGGGTTTAGGGGTGAGCAAACAGCCAGTGCGACCTCCTCCCTGGCGCAGACAAAGCTTGCTGGACGACAGCATACAGGTGCGGCGCCTGTGCCACACGAATCAGCTACGCTAGCTAGGAAGCAGAACAGAACTCTAAACCCCAAAGTCCAGACCCTAACTCCAAAAGACTATGCCCTAAACACGCAAACCCCTAACCCGAATCCGGTCTTCCGATTCGTAAGTACCTCGGAAGAATGCGAAATAAAGCCTGCACGGACTGATCTGGGTCCTAGAACTTAGCATGTCGTGCAGGTCTGGGTCGGATTCGTCTCGCCAGGGTTCAGGACTCTACACCCCAAAACCTTAATGACCCTAATGTAGAGCTGAGTCTGGCCCTCGATCTAGACCGACGTCAGGCAAAGCTACCTGCGGCGGTCTGCTCGACGAGTAGCGCGCCGCCATCTCCTAACCAAAACACTTCATTAACAAAATTGGGAGTGTAGAGCTTCTCCCGGGTTCTTCGTAGGGCATGAAGGAATCCGCCGAGGCCTCGGGCCGGAGGTGTATAGGTTGTCAGAACAGGCACCCCCCCCCACCCCCCCCCCCCCCCCCCCCCCCCCCACCCCCCCCCCACCCCCCCCCCACCACCCCACCCCCCACCCCCACCCCCTCCCCCCTCCCCACCCCCACCCAACGCCACCGCACCTCGGCTCCCCCCCTCCCCCCCCCCCCCCCTCTCCCCCCCTCCCCCTTAAACCTTAAGGGGCCTGGCTCAACCCTACGATCACTCCAAGCCGAAACCCTCAACCCCAAAGCGTGAACCTTGAGCCCTAAACTAACCCTCAACCCCAAACCCCAAACCATAAACCATAAACCCGGAACCCTCAACCCTCAACCCTCAACCCTCAACCCAACCCTTATTGCTTGGGGTCCAGCGACTTGGGCGCTGCGGAATCACCATGCTCACGCGGATGCGCTGGGCCGGGCCGAGGCGGGTCGCGTAGCGTTAAAATTAGGTACCCTACAGCGTCCCTGAAAGGGTGTTAAGGTTTTCTTTAGGAGGATATGAGGTACCTAATTGCTTCATCTAAGAACCAGTAGGGTTAGGATTTAGGGTTTTAGGGTTCAGGGTTTAGGGCTTAGGGCTTAGGGCTTGGGGCTTTCGGGCTTCGGGCTTCCGGCTTTTGGCTTCGGGCTTCGGGCTTAGGGCTTAGGGGTTAGGGCTTAGGGCTTAGGGCTTAGGGCTCAGGGCTTAGGGGTTAGGGCTTAGGGCTCAGGGCTTAGGGGTTAGGGCTTAGGGCTTAGGGCTTCGGGCTTAGGGCGGCTTAGGGCTTAGGGATTGGGACTTGGTTTTGGGGAGCTTGCCTGACCAAAAGCTCCCACATCAGAGTAGGGGTTCACGGACACCAGGACGTCACCCAACCAGGTGTAGATCTGCCGCCTTTCGTACCTGCGCGGTTGGGGGCTTGGGGTTTAGGGTTTCGGGTTTAGGGTTCAGGGTGTAGAGTTTAGGGCTTAGGGTTTAGGGTCTAGGTCCCTCTCTGCTATCCCCCTGCTTTTCCGTGTCAGACATTTGCGTTGCGTTCAGCTTCTTCTGCTCCTTGGATCCCACATGCCTTTACCTTGTATTGTATATACATTTCTGTATATACATACATACTTGCAGATCTTTATCAACTCATACCCGAAACCCTCTAAACCCTCTGAACCCTAAATGCTCTAAACCCTACTAAGCCTAAACCCTAAACCCTAAACCCTAAACCCCATCAAGCCGGGGCCTAAACCTGACGTGACAAACCTCCGCCACAGGCGCGGTGCAGAGCCAACCTTAAACCCTAAACCCTAGATCCTAAACCCTAAACCCTAAACCCTAAACCCTAAACCCTAAACCGCGGTGTCGAGCCTGGCCTGGCCCACAAACCACGGAGCAGCTCCGAGTCACTGAAATCCTGCCCCGAGACCCTCGAAATGAGAGTTCAAGGTTTGGGGTTTAGGGTTTGGGGTTTGGGGTTTAGGGTTTAGGGTTTAGGGTTCCTCCACGTAGACATGATGGTACACGATATATGATCTATGATGTATCCGCCTATTTGTCTGACAGCTACTCAGCATATTTATGTATACATATGTAGGATGATATCGGACAGCTGTAGAGGGACTAAACGAGGGATTCATTTTTGACGGAGCAGAAGCAGAAAATTTAGGGTGTTGCATCAAATAAACTGAAAATTGGGTTGACTCCAATTACCTCCCTAAACCTTAAACCCTAAACCCCAAACCCTCAACCCTCGACCCTCAACCCTAAACCCTAAACCCTACAAAACTGCAGGTTCAATCCAGGGCATCAGCCCATGAAAGCGTTGGTATATTAACAGCATGCCATAAGACACCAGCGGCCATGCTTCTAACTTCTGACCACCAACCTAGCATCGTTTAGGTTTAGGGTTTAGGGTTTAGGGTTTAGAGTCTAGGGTTTAGGGTTTAGAGTTCAGGGTTTGGGGTTTAGGGTTTACGAGGTACCCCTAAGATGCACAGCACAGCCGGACATCACCTGCGGCGACGCGGAAAACCCGCGGCCCCGCACGTCTCTGCAAAAAGCCAGCTTTCTGCGAAGGAACATACGCTACATTTAGGGTTTAGGGTTTAGGGTTTAGGGTTTAGGGTTCAGGGTTTAGGGCTTAGGGTTTAGGGTTTAGGGTACAGGCCCCTCAGACCCGCTCAACTTCGACATCCGAAGCAAAGAGGCTCTGAAGCCCAGACCCAGAACAGGTCGTCAACCTACCTGTCCTCAAGGCACAGGAGATCTGCGGGTACTTGCTCATCACCTTCATCAGAACCTGCTGAATTGAAAAGAAACATGCTCACATCCAGCTGCTCGTACTTCGCAAAAGCAGGCCTAGCTGTGCCCAAGCGTGTGCGCGCACGTCTCTCCATGGAGCGGAACACTGATCTTTCGAACATCGAGAGGAGTCTCAGAACCGAGCTTTGGTGTGGTGCTGAGCCGTTGGAACCTGCACCCAGCAAAGAGAGAACTGCTTTAGGCTCGCTAGGCTTCGACATTAAACCTCACGCTAAACCGGTATTTTGATGCTCTGAGAAATCGTCTTGGGGCCGGGCAACGCACAGCTCGGAAATGCGAGCTGGGCTGTCCCAAACGGGCAGCTTCAATCCCTGCACACATGTTTGCAGCATCAGCATGCGAAAGCAAAGCCACACAGCTTGCAAGTTCTTCGTGGGGAATTCCGCCGAGACCTCGGACTGTAGGTGGAAAGGCTTGGTACTGTTGTGCCTGGATTGGTACCCTCCCTTAAAGTCCAGAAAGTGGACACAATTTTCGCCAAAAAAACGGAACCCCCTCCCACCCCCACCCCTGCATCAGCTCTACCTAATTTGTGCCACTGCCACATTCTTGAGGCCAAACAGCACCCCGTTTGGGTCTCGCCGCGGCCGAGGCGGGTCGCGTAGTGGTAAAATTTTGCAAGGGCCTCTAAAAAAAAAACATCTTTCAGGGGCTATATTGAAAATCTTACTCTCTCTCAAACGCCCTGCTCAGAACCAGCAAATAGATGGCTTTCGCACTTCGCCTCTGGCCACTCCCGCCGTTGCTGACCTCACAATCCCAGACCCCTGGGAAGATCCAACAAGCCCTGAAGGGTTCCTAAACCCTAAACCCTAAACCCTAAACCCTAAACACTAAACCCTAAACCCTGCACCAAGAATGACCCAATAGTAGTATAGGGCATTGTTTGGGGGCTCTACTTTTTGGATCCTCCCAGGGTCTGATATGCAGATCATCAATCATGCAGCGACGCTGACCCCTAAGCCCAAAACGCTTCACCGTTAGAGCCATTGTCAGTGCCGTCTTGACCTAAAGAAACCGAAATACCCCCTAAACCCTGAACCCTGAACCCTGAACCCTGAACCCTACACCCTAAACCCTAAACCCTAAAACCCTAAAACCCTAAAACCCCAAAACCCTAAACCCTAAACCCTAAACCCTAAACCCTGGGAGTCGCACATTGCGGAGTCGGGAGGCTCCACGAACCGGTGTGAACCAAGCACTGCGGCGAGAAATCTGCTTTGGGAGAACTAGCCGGATTCATGTAAGTTTAGGGTTTAGGGTTTAGGGTTGAGGGTTGAGGGTTTAGGGTTTAGGGTTTAGGGTCTAGGGGTTGAGGTTTTAGGGAACGTTGAGTTCAAGATCTCAGGGAGGTTGGGGTTTATCTTGAGGGCATGCAAACAAGTTGCGACCGCATAGCACTCACAACGGGGACAGAGTAGGCCGACCAGTCAATAACAGCATTTCGTTGGACAGAAGCTTTTCTTATTCCGTCATGTTTTTGCATTTTGCGGGCAGGATTGGAAATGCATCAGCTGAAAGTTTAAGGATGTCATAAACCGTCGCTCACTTTCTTCTTCATGGAGGCCGGCGCGGATCCCGTGAATCTCAGCTAGTAGCACCACCCCACGCATGATGTAGTGACAACCTTTCTTGGCCTCCCAGCAATGCTTGAAGCGCACTTTCAACAGCCCCATCCGAACAGGGATGCCTTAAACATCTTACCACGCGAAGAAGCACCGGATTCCTACTAGGGTACCCTAAACCCTAAACCCTAAACCCTAAACCCTAAACCCTAAACCCTAAGGGCTCAGCTTCCCTCTCAAAGCAAAGCTTGCTGCCCCATCAAGGGCTTCCCCGAAAGCCCATCGAGCAAGCTGCTGGGTGGAAACCCTAAACCCTAAACCCTAAACCCTGAACCCTAAACCCTAAACCCTAAACCCTACAGTGACGAACGCTGACAGCATTTTTCTTTCTGCGACAACCCTGAGCCCTGAACTCCAAAGCCTAAACCCTGAATGTTATCCAGGGATTCGGCTTTCAGGTCCAGGGTTGAGGGTTCACAGAAAATATTGCTGTCAGCATTCGTCTGTTGATCAGTTTCTCGAAGCTATCGCAGAACGGCTCATTGAGTTTAACTTCTGGGTTTAGGGTTTAGGGTTTAGGGTTTAGGGTTTAGGGTTTAGGGTTTAGGGTTTAGGGTTTAGGGTTTAGGGTTTAGGGTTTAGGGTTTAGGGTTTAGGGTTTAGGGTTTAGGGTTTAGGGTTTAGGGTTTAGGGTTAGGTTTAGGGTTTAGGGTTTAGGGTTTAGGGTTTAGGGTTTAGGGTTTAGGGTTTAGGGTTTAGGGTTTAGGGTTTAGGGTTTAGGGTTTAGGGTTTAGGGTTTCGGGTTTAGGGTTTAGGGTTTAGGGTTTAGGGTTTAGGGTTTAGGGTTTGGATCGGGTGGGTCAGGATCTATACTTGTTGAACAGGCTCTAAGTATCATAAGGCTCTGTGGAGGCTCTTAAAGCACTTGAGACGCAACCACCCTGAACCAATCCCCAGCCCCCCAAGACGGTTTAGGGTTTAGGGCCGTTTAGGGTTTGGAGTTTAGCACATCCTGTGTCTCCATGAAGCAAGCTTTGCGCAGCTTGGCAGGTCCTAAACCCTAAGCCTAAACCCTAAACCCTGAACCCTGAACCCTGAACCCTAAACCATAAACCCTGAACCCTAAACCCTAAACCCTAAACCCTAAGCGATGTGAGACAGGTAGCGCGCTCGGGATCGATTCCTTTTGCTGCAGGGTCAAGTTTTGGGTTCAGGGTTCAGGGTTCAGGGTTCAGGGTTTAGGGTTTAGGGTTTAGGGTTTAGGGTTCAGGGTTTAGGGTTCTTGCAAAGCTCTTTCTCGAAAGCAGGGGATTCGACTTGGGGCAGGACGTCCGCACATTTTTCTGCAAGCCCTAAACCCTACACCTTAAACCCTAAACCCCAAACCCTAAGCCGTAAACCCTAAACCCTAAACCCTAAACCCCAAACCCTAAACCCTAAACCCTAAACCTCAAAGACATGGGGCCACAGAGCCGAGCCGCGACCCTGACCCGATCGGATCCCCGTAAGATGTGGTCAGTTCTCAAAGAGTGCGAGTTTATGGTTAGGGTTTAGGGTTTAGGGTTTAGGGTTTAGGGTTTAGGGTTTAGGGTTTAGGGTTTAGGGTTTAGGGTTTAGGGTTTAGGGTTTAGGGTTTAGGGTTAAGGGTTTAGGGTTTAGGGTTTAGGGTTCAGCAGCTCCGGGTCGAGCAATTTTATGGTAGTGTTATATTTACGGCTTGGATATAACACCCACCCACCCAGAGAATCCCATAACATTAAGAAACCATATAAAGTATCTTCATACAAAAGTTCTTTTCAACGAAGACTACGGCTATGGGGGGGGTGGGGGTGGGGGGGGGGGGGGGGGGGGTGGGGGGGGGGTGGGGGGGGCGGGGGGTAGGGGGGTGGGGGTGGGGGTGCGGGGGAGGAATTACCCTTAGCCACGAAGAAATTACCCCTAGCCACGAAGAAATTACCCTTAGCCACGAAGAAATGACCCTTAGCCACGCAGAAATGACCCTTAGCCACGCAGAAATGACCCTTAGCCACGAAGAAATTACCCTTAGCCACGAAGAAATTACCCTTAGCCACGAAGAAATGACCCTTAGCCACGAAGAAATGACCCTTAGCCACGAAGAACTATAGGGTTTAAATATATATGTGATAGAGAGGTTTAGGGTTTAGGGTTTAGGGTTAAGGGTTAAGGGTTAAGGGTTTAGGGTTTAGGGTTTGGGGTTTAGGGTCTAGGGTTTAGGGTTTAGGGTTAAGGGTTAAGGGTTTAGGGTTTAGGGTTTAGGGTTTGGGGTTTAGGGTTTAGGGTTTAGGGTTTAGGGGTTAGGGGTTAGGGGTTTAGGGAAAATGACCATCTCGCGTTAATGACGTTAATGCTAGACTGGCGACTAAGTCGTGTCCCGAATCCTTACGAAAGGACGCTCTGTGTTGACTTATCACCCTAAACCCTAAACCCTAAACCCTAAACCCTAAACCCTAAACAGATGCACGCACTCTGCCCATGCTTCATCAGCAGTCTCCATCAGCTTGCGTGACTTTCGGCTTTCAAGGCCCGGTGGCATCTGAAGCGCCTTCAGGGTTTAGGGTTCAGGGTTGAGGGTTTAGGGTTGAGGGTTTAGGGTATAGGGTTTAAGGTTTAGGGTTTAGGGCCACCAGCTACTTGCTCTTCTGCCAGTGCCAACGTGAACAACTTGCAGATACATCATGCGCCGCATCAATCTCTGAATGTTCCGGAAAGCTTCCAAAGCCTGCAACCAAGGAATGCGGTCGTTTGCTGACCCTAAACCCTAAACCCTAAACCCTAAACCCTAAACCCTAAACCCTAAACCCTAAACCCTAAACCCTAAACTCAAGGCCTAGGCCGCCCCCCTACAGTTGGGGGTCGGCGCCTAAGCCACTCAACCTCGATGGCGCAAGCCGACCCAGGTCGTTCGCCCGCCTCCCACAGCTCGGAGGTTGAGGCCCGGCCAGGTGGCCCCAGAGCCTAGGCGTCCCGGGCCCATCACCGCAGCGTGCTCAGGGAGCAGGGGGGAAAAAGTACGTTTTGCTTTCCTGGACCCCCTCCCCCCCTAGCCCTGGCCTCCCCTGGCCCCCCTGGCCCCTGGCCCGCCTGCCCCCCCTCCCCTGGCCCCCCTTCCAGGCGAGTCCCTGACCCCCCGCCCAGGCCCGCCCCTCTCCGCCCTTACCACCCCCCCACCGCGGCTTCTTTATTGCCTTCGAGACCTTGCTGGCACGCTTGACTCTCGGATTCAACCAACATGACGAAACTGAATAAGTTTTGAAAAGCGGACTGTTGTCTGAGTTTAGGCCTAAACTTTGGGTGGCTTTGCCGCCTTGGACGGCGTGGGGTGGGAGAAACGTGTAGATGGCCCCCCACAATCGGGCCAAAGCTGCTCTTCGGCATCTCACGAAGCTTTCGAGCTTGTTCCGAAACCTAACCTTCACAGCATCTACGCCCTATCACAGCAAACCCTAAACCCTAAACCCTAAACCCTAAACCCTAAACCCTAAACCCTAAACCCTAAACCCTAAAACCCAAAACCCTAAACCCTAAACCCTAAACCCTAAACCCTAAACCCTAAACCCTAAACCCTAAACCCTAACCCAGCCCTGCCTCCCCGGCTGGCCGCGAAGCGGGTGTAGTTTCAAGACAAGTGCAAGACTGTGTCAATGCTGCTGCCGACAGACCGTGATGTCTTTTACAACATGAAAGGGTTTAGGCTTTAGGGTTTAGGGTTTAGGGTTTAGGGTTCAGGAGCTCTTGAACATGTGAAGCTGCTGTGAACAAGCCACATGCATCTCCCAACAACATGATCCTTGACCTTGACGCCAGGTGCTCTCGGAGAGAAGCTTGCACATGAAGCAGGGTTTACATTACTGCTTTTGGTGAGTGCATATAAGGTTCCTGTTTAATATTGGTGAGTGTATATATTGTCAACTTGGTGCAACATTGGATCCTGTTGACATCAGGTGCAAATTGCGTGGCATCACTAAAAAGTTCATTGCGGCCAAGAGGAGATATGAATGCTTCAAAAAACATTTTCTCAGGGTTATGGAGCTTGCTCATTTAAACGATGCACGTCCTTGCGAAGCTTAACCATTGATCGGTAAACTCACGTCCTCGACCACTGATGTTGTGTGCTTGCTAACCGCGCTTAGTACAAATCTAAGCTGTCTCACCTTGATATGAAGTAGGGTATATATTTCTTGTACCCCCTAAACGGACACCAGGTATATACACTCACCAATATTAAAAAGGAGCCTTATATACACTCACCAAAGACAGAAATGTAAACCCTGCTTCATATGATTCACGACCTCGAGTCCGCAGTACAAGAATGAGTCTGGCTCCGAGGATGCGCCGCGGAACTCTCGGGGAATAGGGTTTAGGGTTTAGGGTTTAGGGTCTAGGGGTTGGGGGTTGGGGGTTGGGGGTTGGGGGTTTAGGGCACACCAAGGATACTCCCGAAGAGTCTCATCGGGATGTCCGGGGGGATTCTCCGAAATTTAGGCACGAGATCGGAGGAGTACTGGAGTTGCGGGGCGAAGAGAATCGCGAACCTGCCCCGTGTTGAGCTTCCCAGTCCCCCTAACCCCATCCCGAGACTCCCTGGGATTGGGAAGAAGGCGCACCTTTGCACCTCTAAGGCCCTCCAGCCCATGCTTTTGTTTGTGGCTCCAAATTATGATTCCACGTCATGGCTACGCATGCTGAATCAAGATCGTTGGGACTTTCTTCATCCATAGCAAGCGCCTGGTTATATTGCACCAAATTCCGTTGCAACCATGGTCCCATAAACAAGTTCCTACCTGATCCAGGCGAGTGCATTGTTTTGCCTTTCAGTGAGGCTCCAATTGACTCCGCAGAACTAGGCCGGTGGGGGGTCTGAGAGTGTCACGACCTCGTAAATCTCTGATGCCCACGTGTGCGGCACGTCCTGGAACATGAGCATTTAGGGTTTCGGGCAGCGAAGAGTACATGACTTGAGCTCGTGGTGGGCTAAGCGCATTTCAGTGCTGCGAGAAAAAGAAACCTGTCCGCTTAAGCTCAGCGACGCATTTGCCCTCCGGTCCTGGGCGTTGATGTGAGGGCTGCGAACAACGGTGTGACCCTGCTGCTTGATGCAATCTTAGCGGCGAGAGCGTTTCCAAGGGGATCTGTTAGGGCTGAGGGCTTAAGGCTTAGGGATCTGTTGCTGCTGTACTGAGGGTTTGGGGTTAAGGGTTTAGGGTTTGGGGCTTATTGCTTAGGGCTTCGGGCTTAAGGCTTAGGGCTCAGGGTTGCCAAAACCCTAAACCATAAACCCCCAACCCTAAACCCTGAGCCAAAAAGCGCCCGATGTCGGGGTGCCAGAGCACGATCTTGTTGAGTTTCGGGTCCATGGGAACGGGAACGAAGGCTTCGGCGTGCCAACCCTGGGGCCAATGGCTGCCATCCTGGAATGAGCCACTTTAGGGGTTTAGGGTTTAGGGTTTCGGGTTTAGGGTTTAGGGTTTAGGGTTTAGGGTTTGCTGTGATAGGGCGTACATGCTGTGAAGGTTAGGTTTTGGAACAAGCTCGAAAGCTTCGTGAGGCGCGAAGAGCAGCTTTGGCCCGATTGTGGAAGGCCATCTAACATCTTTCTCCCACCCCACGCCGTCCCAGTCCGAGGCGGCAAAGCCACCCAAACCTATTCCTTTTCGGGTTTAGGCCCAAACTCAAGCCAACTGCTTGCTTTCCATAAAACTTCTTCATTCCGAAAAGCCACAGGCAGAAGGGCAGAAAGGCCCAGATGGGCCTGGGCAACCAGCACAAAGGCGAGGGTGCAAGGAAGCTGATCCCGAGCAGAACGTGTTCCTGTACCTGGGGGATCGTGGGCGCTACCGACCCCCACCCCCATGCTGTGGGTTTAGGGTTTAGGGTTTAGGGTTTAGGGTTTAGGGTTTAGGGTTTAGGGTTTAGGGTTTAGGGTTTAGGGTTTAGGGTTTGGGGGATCGTGGGCGCTACCGGCCCCCATGCTGTGGGAGGCGGGCGAGCGACCTGGGTCGGCTTTCACCATCGAGGTGGAAGGGCTTAAGCGCCGCCCCCCAACGTAGGGGGGGCGGGCCTAGGCCCTGAGTTTAGGGTTTAGGGTTTAGGGTTTAGGGTTTAGGGTTTAGGGTTTAGGGTTTGGGGTTTCGGGTTTCGGGTTTCGGCTTTAGGGTTTGGGGTTTAGGGTTTGGGGTTGAGGGTTCTAGGATGTTATCGGATGTTCTAGGATGCTATAGGATGCAAAAAAGGATGCTATAGGAGGTTGTAGGGTTTGGGGATGTTTGGTGGCCCCTGAGCCTAAACCCTGTAAACGCGCTTCACAGCCCGAGCCCAGTGTCAGAGTGCGGGCTGACTGTCACCGACTGGTGGTCCATCTTCACGAAGCGATGCCACTGGTGGCTGTGCAGCGCAACCCTGCCAAAGCCTGAACATCTTTTCGTCAAGCCCACTGCGCAACCCTTAAGCCTCTTCAGCCCACAAAAGGTGCAAAGAGGGGGGCTTTTGGAGAAGAAAGCGCTCCTACTTTTGCTATGGAGGATAAGAAGCCGGCATCCACCACTTTGAATCTCTCCCAGCCCCAATCCCCAGGAAAGACGAGGGGAGCGGGCGGGTGGCCACTGCCATCCATGTAAGTGTCGTGCATGCGGAGGAAGCGATTGGCGGGCCTGTTGTACCTGAGCGTCCAAGCGTTTCGTGCAACTCCCAAAGCATCTATGACCCCACCTAGGCCAGAAAACCAAACAGTGGTCCCAGCTGAGTTCAGGTGCAGGGCCACAACGGAGCCGGGTACGAGGTAAGGCCTTTCGGGCACGAGAAAGAACCTCTGATGGGTCCAACCATGGGGCACTTGGTCGTTGCCGTGGTGTGGACTGCCTCAGACTCTGGGGGCTCTGCGCTCGGAACTCGCGGCGCAACAC